TCGACCTGGATTTGTACATGTAGCAACTGCCATCGACGTTCAGCTGATCCAATACAAAGACCTCCTGTATCCAAGCTTATTTTCCTAGTGTTCAAAAAGCACATGTTAAAAACACTTACCTCAAAGTATCTCCTCTCAATTTCAGGATTCTTTCCCATAGTCCTTTGTTCGTAACAGCACAAGACGCACGTTTCAGGGCCAGTAAGGTCTTTCAGCGTCTTCAGTAACGGCTCTAATGACTGCCCAAAAGAGGTTAAGTATTTCCCACTTAGATTTCAAGTTCATTTTATTGGTACGGTACCCTCTAACTAGAGAAAGTCTTCACCCAAGAGAGAACTTGCCAGTTTTGCTTTTCAGGGAGTTATTTTTAGTACTTTAACTGGGACAGAAAGAACATGGGGGTAAGCTGGAAAGCAGAGGAGAAAGGGAGACCACAGAGGAGAAGAGTTTCACAGACTGACCAAGAAAACTGAACTAGCATCAAAGCCAAAAACATCCCACACTGCTGAGTGGGCATTTCCTTGAGGCAAACAATGGCTATTTCTTGACATGTTTCAAACGGGTTTTCTCAAACGCTCTTGGAACGTGGCTCTGATCCAGACCTCTACGTATGGAAACAGGACCAACATGCAGGAAGCCAATGCAAGTGGCTGGTAAGACCACTGAAAGGGCACTGGGACATGGGGTTCTTCAGGTCATTTCCCTTTTCTTCCAACTTCTGTTAGCTCTCTGTGCACATCCTACAGAGCTCCAGCTCAGGAGATGGGGCAGACTGCAACAACCACTTGGCTGGAGCATGATTTCTCCTTGCGCCTTCCCAAGGGAAGTGTGAGGAGAACCCAAACAGCACAGATGTGGCCCTATTAAATTTCATTTACCAATGCATTAAACAGTTTGCAACTATCAGTCACAATGCTTTGCTTCACACTTCACTCCCAATGTAAAAAGAAAAAGGGGGGGGGAGGGGAGTAAGGCACAAATATTAAGTTTGGGGCTTTTTTAAACAAAAAAAAAAGTCTCTGGCTGAATCTCAAATGGCCTTGAATATGTTAAAAATGCCTTTTCCAGTCTCGTTCTATGTACGCCTCTAAACCGCCAGGACCAAGATGCAAGCACAATATTTATTTGAGCACTTCTCACACTGAAGCTACACCCTTCCCAAGGAAGCTTTCTACAGGGGCTTTGCAAAGGCCTCATTTACCTCCTCATAGTAAATGCAATCAGCCATTAGGATATAATCGGGGGGAGGCTGAAATTCTGTTACATCTTCACCCCTAAAAAGAAGCAAAAAAAAAAAAAAAGGTGAAAAGAAGCTTCAGTAATAGTACAGCACATACTACAAAAGGACTGAGGGTAGTTAGCTACTATGTTCTTACACTGAGCTTGCCTTTTACGGCAGCGTTTTCAGGTATATTTAGCCATTTAACAAAGCAAGCGCAGAAGCCGAACAGAAACATTAAAGGATCATACAAACCATTTCAGTACCTTGGCTCGGACTGACCCTGTGACCAGCTGCTTGTTGTTCTCTATATTAACCATCAACAGCTCCTGCAGCTCCTCCAGGTCGGTGACGGTCACGTCCGCCCTGTAACACACACGGGGTCACGGCCCAACCCGCCGGCGCCGGCCCCTCGCCACAGCGCGCACGCCCAAAGCACCCATTTCTGTGAGAATTTGGAAGATTTCGCGTAGGTAACGCAATAAAGCGGGGTAAGAGGGGGAGAAACGGGCAGCGGGGACCTGCCCCTTCCCGGCCCGGAGCGGGCCCGCCCGCC